CCTAGAGCTCTGATACCAATATGTCACGATCCAAAATCTATTAGTCATGATGGCACCTAATCAAACCCGCTAGGTAAGCCAACTAATAACTATCCAATTCCATTAAAGTCAATAAAACAATTAAATAGAGAAGTTAACTGAATTTTATATTGGAACAGACACAAATACATCTCAATGACACACTACAAGAGAATCAATATCTAACAGCATCGCAATTGAATGACTCAATTCATATCCGACAGTATCAAAATCCCCACATATCATACTTCGAAGCACATCTTAGCTCAAAATGAGACAACCACATACTAGGGAAACAACATAAAGATGGTATCATCATTAAGAATGTTGATGTTTTCAAACAGAAAAATGAAAACTTCGAAAGTTCTTTGAGATAACCTGATTTGACAAAGAATATCAATTATATATGCTGAGTTTAAGACGTGACTCACATTCTCTCCTTCCTGAATTACATACAAGTATGTTGTAATGACCTGACCAGTCGTTTTGAGCATTTGCACTTCGCTCAGTAATTTGGGGGCACGCGTAGACCCATATAATATATTAGGACTTGTGCGCAAATTTTTGGTTCATTCTGAGTTGATTTGATATGTTTCGGCATAAGTTTTTGCAAGTCGAAAGTTCGGAAGTTCATTAAGTTTGATTTGAGGTGCATTTTGTCGTTTCGATATTTTTATGTGTGTTTTGAGGCCTCGAGTAGGTCCGTATTATGATATGGAACTTTTAGGTATGTTTAGACGGGGTCCCGAGGGGCTCAGGTGAGTTTCGGATAGGTTTGGATTGTGTTGCGCTTGTTTTTCTTATGTTTCGACGTCATTTCTTCAAGCATAAATGGTACCATATTGAACAAATGAGCTCCAATTTCTGTTTTTATTAAAGCATTAGATCTGTATCGTAATTACGGAGTAATAGAAATAAGAATCGTCAAATTTAAACATCGTATGAGGATTTTATGGTCATTTTACTAAGAATTGGGTTGTCAGATTTTTTTCATATTAATTACGAAATTGTCACCGCTGCGTATTTAAAAAATCTGCACTATTTCCAAATATTGAAACCAACATATCTCCTTCAATATAAGGTCAAATGGAGTTATTCAAAAGCCTAACTTAACTAGAATTTTACAAGGAATTCATTGGACCTATCAAAAGTGAGTTTCGAGATATTTTGGCACAAGAAATAAGACAGAACAATATTAAAATGAGGGTTTTATGTATTTAACATATTTTAAGTTGGGTGCTAGAAATTGGGTAATTTTTCGAGGCGCTTTTCAGCATATGAATTGGGGTAAGTTTTCTCTACTCGGTTTTGGTTATATTTCATGAATCTATCTTCGATTTTAGCTTTTGGTTGATGAATTTTAAAGGCGTAATACATACGGAGACACCTAAAGTTGGCACGATCTTTCACTTAGATACTTAAACTAGACCTCTCTTTCCAATTAGACACTTTTCCTAGGCAATTCTCATACCAATAAGACACGTTTTTTGCTGGCTTATTAATTAACCAAGCGCGTGTTCTGCAATCTCCGTGTACGTGGCAAAAGTAACCATTATAAATCGTGCCACATCATTTTATTTGTCCACCTCACTGTCCACCTCAGCTATATAGTGTTATTTCCACTAAAATACAAATAACTAGCCCTAAACAAACATCTAAACATATTACCAACCCACCCCTCCCCTTCGTCATCTTCCCCAACGACCCCCACCCCCTTCCTTTCCATCTTCATCTGCAAACAAAGTTGGCTCCCCTTCTCCTTGAACTTGAACCACCCCAAAAGACCCTTCTTCTCCATCCCTAAAATACCAGCCAGCGCCCACCCACAAACGACCACTACATCTCCACCTCTTTCCGCCGCTCAAACCTAACACACACAACACCAGCGACTGAATCTCTCCGCTGGCAGACCCCAGCAGTCGCACCGTCTTCTTCAGCCTCATTGTCTCCATCCCCGCCACCAGAGCTCGTCGCAAAACACCACTCTCTGCTGCCCAGAAATAACCACACACACACGCATAAATAGTGAACAGACAAAGAAAGAGTGACGAGAAGGAAAAGAGCTAGGTTTAGAAAGGAAAATTTCTGTTTACCTTCTTCATTATCCAGATTTCTTGACATAATTAATTTCAGTTCTGGCAGCTGGGTTAGGCTTCTTCTTCTTCACTTTATCCTTTTTGTTTTCTTCCAATCACAAATACTCACCTTTTCGTTTTCGGCTGAATTTGAATCTGGTATGGGATTCGAAAGAAGAATAGCGATTTGAGTCGGAGAAGATGACGGAAAGTGGAGGAGGCAATGGTGGAAATGGTGGTGGGCATAAAGAAGAAGAAGGAAATAAAAAAAACAAAAACAAAATCTGTTTTTTGGGCTTTTCACGCGCCCATATTGGGTGAAACTCACTTTATGTGCCAACTCAGCAAGAAGTGTTTAATTGGAACAAAGTTCATGTAACGTACGTGCTCAATAGGAACTCTCTTAAGTTCAAGTGTCTAAATGAAAGATCGTGCCAACTTTAAGTGTCTCTGTATATATTACGCCAATTTTAAAGAAATAATTGGGGGTTTTGGCCTAGAGTTTCATAATATGAATTTTTGAGTTTTGAACATCGATTCAGTATCGGATTTGAGTGAAACTAGTATAATTGAACTCGTAATTGAATGGGTTGACGGATTTTGTGAGTTTTGTCGGGTTCCGAGGTGCGATCCCGGGTTGGGCTTTTTGGCCGATTTAGGGCTTTTGATTAAAGATTCGACCTTTTTCGATTGGAATTGGTTCCTTTAGCATTGTTTGCTGTATTTGAGTTTTTTTATTAGTTTCGAGCTATTCGGAGGTCAGAACGTGCGTGATGGTATTCTTGAAGCATCACTTGGCTTGCTCGGTGTCGGAATTTGCTTGTTTAAGATAAGTAACTCTTCTAAGCTTAGTGATGAGGGTATGAAATCCCGAACTATGTGTTATGTGATTGGTATTGAGGTGAAGCACATGCTCGGTGACAAGCGTATGAGCGTGCACCTTTTGAAATGAGACTCTGTTGTTCCCATGGCCCTGTATAGTGGCCCTATTTTGTTGATAATTGTGTTTTCATCATGTGATAAAGTAACTGAGATGTCAATCATTCTAAATATCATGTTTAGGCTTTATGCTAATATTGTTTGTACCCATATTGGTTATTGCTTGCTGTCATCTCACTGGTTTCCATTGATGTACTCAGTCATATTCATGCATTCATATCGTATCTCAGTCTCAGTTGTTGTTGTTGATGCATCATATCATTGTTGTCGGACTAGTTTCAAGACATTTTGAGCCTGTGAGCGAGACTAGAGAGAACGATGACTGAGTGAGGCCGACGGCCTGATTGTGAGGATATATATATATATATATATATGTGTGTGTGTGTGTGTGTGTGTGTGTGTGTTGATCGGGCTGCATGCCGCAGCAAAATGTGGATCGTGTTGCATGCCACAGCGATATTAGGCCAGGTTGCACACCGCAACGATATAATGCTTGGGCTGTAGGAGCCCCTCCGGAGTCTGTACACCCCCAGTGAGCACAATCGACTATATATATATGGATCGGGCTGTACGCCGCAACAGTTAATTATACAACGCTGAGTGATTTAGTGTGCTGAGCATTGAGCTTAGTAAGAGAGGATGCAAGGTAATGACATTGAGTACTCTGAGAGTGTGAGTACATGTTTTATCTCTGAGATACATGGCATTCACATGCATACATGAGATATAGGCATAGAAATGCATTCTTACTCATGTTATATAGTATAACGTCATTCATGACTTATTATATACATTGATATGTGGGTATGAAGAGACACTTTATAATTGTTATTTGGAAAGAAAATAAATTTTTTTATTTATTGTGCAAAGGATATTTGGAAAATTACAGTTTTCAAACTTACTCGTACTTTTGGCAATTTCGGTAAGAGATCTAGGATTTTCTTTCACTGAGATATTTGAAAAGCATATTTTCTAGACCTGTGAAAGAGCTGAGTATTTTACTTTTGAGATATCTCTTTTATACTTGCATTTATGTTGTTATGAACTGTTGTGAAAATATTGGCTTTGGACCTGATCCTGTCTTAGCTCTTCACTGCTTTCAACCTAAGATTAGGTTTGTTACTTTTTGAGTACATGGGGTCGGTTGTACTCATACTGCACTTCCTGCACATTGCGTGCAGATTCCGGATGCCGATGTTGCTGATGGTTGTTGGATTTGAAGGTGTATTTGCGTCCTTGATGTAGCTGCCTCCTTGTTCATGGTAGCCTTAGCTTTATAAAACTTTGTTTATGTACTTTTCAAACAGAAGATGTATTTTCTTCATATCGGCTTCATGAACTCTATTCTTAGAAGCTCATGATTTGTACTACCAGTCCTTGGAGAACATATTTGACTACTCAGGTATATCAAAAAGGAAATTAAAATAGACTTCAGCATTTATATATGTAGGAAAGTGAAACAGAATGATGGAACCTGCTTACTGCTTTTGAACTGAATCTTTGGTAGTGTTACAAGTAGAAAATACTTGTCCTACTTTTTATTTGATATTGTTTCCCAAATATAGTTTGAGTTTCTTACTTTAATGGTTTCAAACATTGAAAAGTATTGAATATGAACTGAATCAAAAAGTTACAGGGGTTTAGTGATATTTTTGCATCTGGCTCCAATTCCAGATGGTTGTTTACTTTTTATTTTATTAATATATCAATTCTTTGAAGGAGGAGTTAACTTTCTAAATGCTGATAAAACGGTAAGCTGTCAAGAAATGTGTTAACATGGTTCGCTGCATCTTTTATCATACAATAATATAAATTTTCAGTGATTCAGTTGTTCTAAGTGTTTCACAAATATAGTTCATGATGCTTGTATCTTTAATTTCGTAAATAGAATCAGTACTGAAGTAGAACCTGTGCTTTACTGATTAAATTTGGTATGAATATCAAACGTAATATTACATTTGTGTTTAGGATAAATCTGAAGCTTGTGGCGGGCTGCGAAAGCATAAGTTGCAAGCCTTTGTGTTCAGTACTATGCAAAAGCTTTTTTGAGCATGGAAAGCCGAGTTGCAAAGGAATATGGAACAGGAGTTGCAAAGGAGGTGGGAATAGGAGCGTGAACAAGTGGATATAGAACAATAAGCTGCTTTCATGACCCGAATGCAGCAGGTACTGCTAATATTTTTGTACTCTTCATGACCTGGTATTATCATAGAAGGAAATTGGATTCTATATCTTCAACATGTGGCTTTTTATCTGAATCAACCTGAATAGACTTTGGAACTGAATTGTAGTAATTACTGATACTTGTGTTTTTTGTTAGAATGAATAAGATATTGTAAGCCTGCATTATTTACATGCTCTTTTAAATATGGAACTTTGAAAGAGGCTTCTCCGATCTGATGTCTTAGCTTCTTCTAAAGCTTTTGACCCTTATGTTACAGCAGTAAACTTCAATTACACCAAAGCATGAAACTAGCAAGTTCCATCGAACTAGGTCCATTTTCTGCAATTAAGAAGTTTACTTTTTCTGGTGTCTTTTCTATGAAAATAATTTGATAGTGATAATATCAAGATTATACCATATCCTTCCAGGATTTAGGGTGAAAAAGATTGTAAACAAGTCTTATGCACTTATTTATAACATTAGCATGTATCATCTGTTGAATATCATTCTTAAGATACATTCCATTTGAGCAACACATGATCTGTTTACTTGGTAGAATTATTGCACATTGAATTTCAGATGGATAGATATATGAACAATCTTCTTTCTGATAGAATAACTCTCGCACAAAGTACACTGCCTTGTTCTATTTAGAGTTGATCTTTCATTTATGTCTTGGGATTATTGTCACCCCTTTTACTAGTTGCATAAAATTATGAGAATTGTCAAAGTGATCTTGTGTTTTTTTTTTTGGGCCATATGTATATGCGTAGAATGAAAATGAACAATAATGCAGTCTGTATTGTAATATACTTTTTAGTAATGGAAGTAATTTTAATATTTTATTTGAGAAATGCTTTTGGGTGTTTGTTGGACAATATTGGATTCTCTTAATACTTGTAGGCAATTGATAGAAATATATTTGTATTTTAATTTTTGACAATTGGTTGCCACTAGAAATGTAGTATAATTTTAGTCATTATAGTTGCTGAATGAATAAGTTTTAGTGGCGATAGAACCTTGTCACAAAAAATTAGTTGTAGCGAATTGAGATAATGCTTTTTTGTAGCGACTACAGTCGCCGCTAAATATCGTTATGTGTTGATAATTTAATAGTTTTATTTAGCTCGAACTGAGTAACAATTATATATTTAGCGTTGTTCTAACCAAGTGTCCTGCGCATCCGTGTATGTCCATTAAAGCAACTAATTTAGTGTTTCACATATGACTAATTAATTTAGATTCAATCTCTCATCTATATTTTATTATGTTAATTTGAGTGCCTCTTGGATTACTAAAGAACTTGGTTCTTTACTTTACTCCTTATGCGTAAGAAAAATAAGTAGCAAAGTAAACTGTTACGATCCCAATTTCTCACTGTAGGATATCATGAGACTAGGTAAACCTAACTCATTCTGAATATTAATGGAATTTAACGGACTTAACTGCAATACATTAAATAATATGTGTAATAACATAGTTTAACCAACATCAGTTACATAACGCCAAAACAGGTAGTACAAATCATAATCTTTTATAAGAGTTACTAGAAATAATAATACATCAATGTCCCGGAATAATAGGAAACAATGGAATTAAAATACAACAAAAGGTGACTTCAGAGCCTATGAACGTCCAGCAGGTGTACCTTGAAATCTCCAGTCGCACACGCATAAGTCTCCCAACCAACTCATCCGAAGTACCTGGTTCTGTACAAAAATATGCAGAAGCGTAGCATGAGTACACTACAGTGGTACCCATTAAGTATCAAGCCTAACCTCGGTAGAGTAGTGACGAGGCCAGTTCAAGACACCTACTAGACATTTAAATGTTTACATGATATAACATAAAGCTAACAAGGAAAGAACATCAATATAAGGCCAATACCAGAAGGATTTCAAATTACAACCAATAGTGAAAATAGTGGGAGCACGAATGGCAACGAGTGATAACCAAGTAACTAGGCAACAACATGGCCGGGGAACATATGAAATATGAATGTGTTCGAGTAAGGGAAATCGATGATAACTCAATCAATCAAATCATCCTAATGCACGAATTTCAACAAGAATTAACCCAAGTACCACTTCTCGTAATCTTAGATAAAAAATTCATAACTTCCAAACCTTATATACATGGCACCTCATGCCCACATATTTCAAATCACTCCCGCATGGCAATATTCACGTGCTACCATGTACATAGTATTCATGTCAATATTAACTAAGATGACCGATGAATAATTTAAACACAATCTCAAACTTGAATACAGTAAAGCGTCAAATGAGATATAAATCCTAATTTAGGATTCAAATAAAGTAAAATAAAGAAGAGGTTGTGTAAATAAAGTATCAGATGAGCTTAGTTTAGAAATAAATGAGATGGAACAAAATATCGTATTTAAGCAAAGTAAAACATCAATTAAAGTTAGCGAGTTAAATATATAATTTGTTAAAGTAAAATGTAATAACAATTTTTAAGTAAATTACAAAACAATAAGATGATGAGTAAATTTGAGAAACTAATTAAAGTAAAAATGTAATAACCATTTAAATTAGTAAAACGCCGAATGAGATACGAGTTTTATTTTTGAAAGACACACAAGTGAAACACCTTAAGATTCTTTCATTTAAATTCGCTAAATTATCAACAACTCAATCGGATACAAGTTAAGGACTCTGTGCATATAAATTCACCTTGACAATCAATTTATCAAGAAATAATAGAGGCACAAATTTGGCATATTGAAGCAACACAAAATATCACGTAGAATGCATGATTCGCACAAGAAGTCAATATCCTTCCATTATCAGAATACTAACAGTTAATCAAATACGATGAAGTTATTTAAGAAACAACAAATGATCCTACATAAAATTTACCATGGGAATTACAACCAGAAATGAACTTAATAGCACAATAATTACAACATGTACATCTGTTGCAGCGTGCAACCCGATCTCACACAGTAATAACATATCCGTTACGGCGTGCAACGCGATCCCATACAATATCATCATTTATCAATATCATAATCCTCCCTTATTCCACTATATCATCATTTTCATTACTGTTGCAGCGTGTAACCCGTTCCCTAAGCCACATAAATTATGCGAACAAGTTACAACCAACTACTGTGTGCCACATGATCAAAAGAAATGACGAGGCTACACAAAGAAGTCACAACGGATGGAAAAGTTATAATTCACAAAATTAAATAGCAAGGAATGACAATTCCATAAACCAAGACACCATTTATGAGAATCAATTAACAATTAAGGCATATAGTAGATAAACACATGAATTCAACAAGTAATTGCAATTAACAATTAGCATAAATGGTGAACTTGACAACAAAAGATAGAACATGTACTAACAACTTCAGGTAAAGCACGTAAGAGCAATCCTAACGAAAAAAGATATAACATGAAACGATAGCTATAATTAATTGCATGGAAGAAGCCTTACGGTCTAAACAAGTCAAATACCACGTATAAGTTCGTGTACACACGCGTCACCTTGTGTACACGCCTTCCACATAATTCAAATAGCATCATCAATCCAAAACCTAAGGGGTAGTTGTCCTCACACAAAATTAGGCAAGATACTTACCTCAATTCGGCTAAATTAATACACAAATTAACTTTTTCTTTACAAATTCACCTCCGCTCGACTCAATGTAGCCTAAGACGACTTAAATACATCAAATAATGCAAGTGAAAATAATTTCAATTAATAAATTTATGATCTTTATACAATTTCCAAAATATTAACAAAAGTCAACCTCGGGCTCGTCTAGTCAAAACCCGAGTACAAGGGTAGGTCTTGACTACCCAATACTTCACGAGTCCATATATGTGTTTTGTTTCCAAATCCGAGTCCAATTCGACTCTCAAATCCCCAATTTTTATTTTCAAAACTTTTACTCTCAAGTCCATATATGCCATGTATATTTTCAAAACTCTCAAATCTCTAAATTTCCTCGTAGATTCTCATGAATTTGGTGTTAAATCTAATATATTATCACGAAATATAATTAAAAGTTGATTAAAATTACTTACCCAATATTTGGTATGAAAATCCCTCCACAAAATCGCCTCCCATCAAGGCTAGGGTTCAAAACATGATAAAATGAAGCTACGTCTTGGAATACTCAGCTATATGCTGGTTGCAGATGTCGCATTTGCGACACGGGGTTCGCAAATGCGAACCCCGCAAAAGCGAGCATTTCATCGCAAAAGCGAAACATGCGACTTTATGCTAAAGCCACATTTGCGACCAAATTCATTGCAAATACGAAGACAACTGCCCTCGCAAAAGCGAACTATAACACTTCGCAAATGCGAGGGAGCTCTTCGTAAAGGCGATGTAACGACCCGACCGGTTATTTTGAGCTATAGCGCGTCGTTCGGTGATTTGAGGCCATGAGTAGTTTCACTTCAAGTATTATAACTTGTACGCGTGGTCGAAATTTAAATTTCGGAAGTTCGGAGTTGATTTGGAAAGAAATTCTCATTTTGGAAGCCTTAAATTGTAAGAATTGACTAAGGCTAGATTATTGATTTAACGACCTCAGAATTGGGATTTGAAGGTTCCAGCAGGTGCGTATGCTGATTTTGGACTTGGGCATATGTTCGGACTGGGTTTTGGATGACCCGAGAGCATTTTGGTGCCTATTATGGAAGTTAGTATTTTTGGAAGAATTTCATAAATTTGGGTTGAAGTGCATTTCAGTGTTATCGATGTCCATTTGGGATTCTGAGTCTGGGAATAGCTCCATATTGTGATTTTGGTATTAGGAACGCGTCTGAAAGTGGATTTGGAGGTACATAGATCATTTTGGAGTCATTTGGCAAAAATTAGAAATTTGAAGGTTTTGAGGAGCTTGATCGGAAGTGGACTTTTTGACATCAGGGTCAGATTCTGATTCTAGAAGTTGGAGTAGGTCCGTAATGTTGAATGCGACTTGTGTGCAAAATTTGAGGTCAATTGGACGTGATTTGATGGGTTTAGGCAATGAAAGTAGAAATTGAAGTTTTAAGTTCTTTAAGTATGAATTGGGGGGGGNCGTATGGTGCTTTATGACTTATTGGTATGTCTGGTTGAGGTCCCGAGAGCCTCGGGTTGATTTCGGATGATGAACGGATCAAGGTTTGAAGTGAAGAGCTGCTAAAGTTTGAGGACTGCTGGTGTAATCACACCTGCAGAGTGGGCACGACAGGTGCGAGCCC